AGGTGAGTCGCGCGACGGCGAGCGCGCTGGGCTTGCTGCATGCAGGGGGAGCGTGCGGGCGTGATGCCTGTCTCTCTCTTCTTCCATCTTCTTCTGCGTCGTCTCGTGCTCTCTCTCTGCTCGCTGCTGCTCGTGTCCTCTCATGCCGGTCTCGTGCGGCTCCCTCCTCTCCTTCCCTCTTCTCTCTTCCCTCCTCTCTCCTCTCTCCTCTTCCTCCTCCGTTCTCCCTCTCTCTCCCGTCCTCTCTCTCAATCTCTTTCTCCTTCTCTTTTTCTCTACTTACTACCCTCTCTCTCACTTTCTTCCTGCCCAACCATCCTTGCTCTCTCAATTTACGTCTGTTTCCTGCATTCCTGGGGGTGGGGGTAGGAGGCCTTCCTCGCCATAAAATAAGGTTTAAATAATCTATACAAAGTATCGGTGTGCATTTTCTTATAGACTCCCTGATCGTATGTGGCTTAAAAAGGAGGCGGAAGAAGGTAAAAGGAACGAGAAAAGCACAGGTCTGAGGAGCCTTTGGAGATTGTAAGGTGTTAGGGAGAGTTAGAGGTAGGTCGAGAGAGAGAGAGAGAGAGTGAGAGGGAGAGAAAAAAAGACTGGGAATAAAAGGTAGATGATTAGATGGGTAAAAGAGAGAGAGGGGGAGGGTTGGAGGAAATGAAGGAGAAAAAAGGTAAAACAGTGAAAGACAGAGAGAGAGCGAGATTGAAGAGGGAAATTAAGGTATGAAGGGTAAAAGAACACGAGAGAAAGAGAAAGAAAGAAAGAGAGAGAGAGAAGTAAAAGGGAGAGGCAGCAATAGATAGATAGATAAAGAAATAGTGAGATAAAGAGATAGATAAAAGAGAGAGAGACAGACAGACAAACAGGAAAGAAAGAAAGAAAAAAAGAGAAAGACGTAGGGCCACGGTGGCGCAGCGAAACAAAGAATAAGGATACGGCAGTAGATGTTTATCAAGAGAGATGGTGCTCAAGAGGGACGATTTGGGTCTGCTCCCGCTTGTGTGTGTGTGTGTGTGGGTGTGGGGTGTGGTGGGGTGGGTGTGGTGGGTGGTTTGCTTGTTTGTAATGATGAAGAAGCTGAAAATCCCAATAATGATGACAATGTTATTGAGAGTCATGATAAGATAATGATTATGATGAGGATATTAAGGATAATAATGGATATCATAATTCTGATTGTATTTCGGCCGTTCGTTTGTTTTTATGTCACACACACACACACACACACACACACACACACACACACACAACACACACACACACACACACACCACACACACACACGACTTATTCTAACTTATTCTAAGGGAGGGCGGGGCTCAGAGAAAAAAGGGGAGAGGGAAGGAAGAGGAAGGGGATGAAGGAGCGAAGGAGGGAGGAGGTTAAGGAGGATGAGGAGAGAAGTGTGAGGGGCCAGATGTAGGGCTTGGAGTGGGAGGGGCCAGATGTAGGCTTGAAGTGGGAGGGGCCAGATATAGGCTTGGAGTGGGAGGGACCAGATGTAGGGCTTGAAGTGGGAGGGACCAGATGTAGGGCTTGAAAGTGGGAGGGCCAAATGTAGGCTTGAAGTGGAGGGGCCAGATGTAGGACTTGAAGTGGGAGGGGCCAAATATAGGGCTTAGAGTGGGAGGAGCCAGATGTAGGGCTTGGAGTGGGAGGGCGGATGTAGGGCTTGAAGTGGAGGGGCCAGATGTAGGGCTTGTGGGAGGGGCCAGATGAAAGCTTGAAGTGGGAGGGGCCAGATGTAGGGCTTGAAGTGGGAGGGGCCAGATGTAGGCTTGGAGTGGGAGGGGCCGGATGTAGGGCTTGAAGTGGGAGGGGCCAGATGTAGGGCTTTGAAGTGGGAGGGGCCAGATGTAGGGCTTGAGTGGGAGGGGCCATGTAGGGCTTGAAGTGGAGGGGCAGATGTTAGGGCTTGAAGTGGCCAGATGTAGGGCTTGAAGTGGGAGGGGCCAGATGTAGGGCTTGGAGTGGGCTTGAAGTGGGAGGGGCCAGATGTAGGGCTTGGAGTGGGAGGGGCCAGATGTAGGGCTTGGAGTGGGATGTAGGATGTGGGAGGGCCAGATGAAGGAAGTGGGAGGGGCCAGATGTAGGGCTTGAAGTGGGAGGGCCAGATGTAGGGCTTGGAGTGGGAGGGGCCAGATGTAGGGCTTGAAGTGGCCAGATGTAGGGCTTGAGTGGGAGGGGCCAGATGAAAGGCTTGAAGTGGGAGGGCCAGATGTAGGGCTTGAAGTGGGAGGGCCAGATGTAGGGCTTGAGTGGGAGGGTGTAGGGCTTGAAGTGGGAGGGGCCAGATGTAGGGCTTGAAGTGGCCAGATGTAGGGCTTGATGGGAGGGGCCAGATGTAGGGCTTGAGTGGGAGGGCCAGATGGTAGGGCTTGAAGTGGGAGGGGCCAGATGTAGGGCTTGGTGGGAGGGGCCAGATGTAGGGCTTGAAAGTGGGGAGGGGCCAGATGTAGGGCTTGCAAGGGGCCAGATGTAGGGCTTGAAGTGGGAGGGGCCAGATGTAGGGCTTGAAGTGGGAGGGGCCAGATGTAGGCTTGAAGTGGGAGGGGCCAGATGTAGGGCTTGAAGTGGGAGGGGCCAGATGTAGGAGTGGGAGGGGCCAGATGTAGGCTTGAAGTGGGAGAGATGTAGGGCAGTGGGAGGGCCAGATGTAGGGCTTGGGAGTGTAGGGCTTGGAGTGGGAGGCCTGAGTAGGCTTGAGTGGGAGGGGCCAGATGTAGGGCTTGAGTGGGAGGGGATGAGGGGCTTGAGTGGGAGGGGCCAGATGTAGGGCTTGAAGTGGGAGGGCCAGATGTAGGGAAGTGGAGGGGCCAGATGTAGGGCTTGAAGTGGGAGGGGCCAGATGTAGGGCTTGGAGTGGGAGGGGCCAGATGTAGAGTGGAGGGGCCAGATGTAGGGCTTGAGTGGGAGGGGCCAGATGTAGGGCTTGAAGTGGGAGGGGCCAGATGTAGGGCTTGACCAGATGTAGGAAGGGGCCAGATGTAGGGCTTGAAGTGGCCAGTAGGGACCAGATGTAAGTGGGAGGGGCCAGATGTAGGGCTTTTGTAGGAGTGGGAGGTGTGACTTTAAAGAAGATTTGGGTGTGAGAGGAGGTGGCAGAGAGGAGGCGAGAGGCGATAAGAGAGTGAAGGAGGGAAAGAAGAGGGAGAAATACCTCTTATTCATTTCGTTCCGTGGCATTTCGTCGGACCCCACTGGTAATGATGATGTTGATGATGATGGTGATAATAATAATTGCAAAAATGATCATTAGCAATATCATCATCATTGTCATTATTATCATCATTATTATCATTATTATCTTTATCATCTTCATCTCATCATCATCATGCTTATCGTTATTGTTAGAATCATTATATCATTATATTATTATTAATCATTATATTATTTTTATTATAGTTATAGTTATTGTAATTATCATTATTACTATTCTTACCATAGTAATATTATTATTATCATCATTATCGTGATTATAATTATCACTGTTATTTCCCTTGTTGTTGTTGTTTAAACTATTGTTGGTATTTTTTATCACTGCATAGATGATAATATTTTTCATTATTGATATCATCATCATTACAATAACAATAATGTAAATAACAACAACATTGATGATTATAATGTTAATGATAACAGCCATGATAGTGATAATAAGGGCAATGTTACTAGGGTAATAATAACAATAATGATATCATAATTATTATTGTTTATGTTATTATTATGATTATTATAATAATAATTATTATTACTATCATTGTTGTTATTAATATTATCATTATATCACTATCATTATCATCATCACTATTGATATTATCATTAATGTCACTATTATCTATCATCATTATTATCATTACCTTTATTTTTATTTTCATAATTACCATTATTATTATTGATGTTATTATTATTGTTGCCACTGCTCTTGGTTTTGTTGTTATTGTTATTGCCTTTGTTACTGTTACTATTGTTTTGTTGTTATCGTTATTAGTATCATTACTACTGTTATTATTGTTCCATTATCATTGTTTTTCTTTTACCTATAATTATTATCATTGTTGTTATTATAGTTTTGGTTATTGTTATTTTCATCATTATACTTTTGATCATCACCATCAACATTTTCAATATCATCCTCTATTATCATTATTATTATTTTCATTATTTTTCTTATCATTGCCTTGCCAATAGGGGTAACTATTATTACTTTTATATTTACTTTTATTTCCTCCGCGAAAGAGGTTGTGTTTACGGACGTCACCAGTGTCCTTGAGAAAGAGGTGGTCTTAACGTAACCCTTCAAGTGTGAATATCTTTATTTCCTCAGTGACCCTATTGCCTTGAAGGAGGTATGCGCTATTTGAGTGTTTCTAGGTATTATCATTATTATTACTGTTATTGTTATTATCGATAGTAATGGCAGCGGTAGTAATAGAAATATTAAAAGTATTAGTATCATTATTATTATCATTATTACTATTATCAGTATCAATCTTATTATCATTATATTTTTTTATTATTGTCATTACTATTACTAGTAGCAGTAGTAGTTGTTGTTATCCTGTTCTTGTCATTATCATTATCATTATTACTACATTTGATATTATCAACATTATTATTATTATTATTATTATTAGCATTTTTAACTATATTACAATTTTTATTGTTTTGATCATCATTATCACTATTATCATTGAATTAATTATTATCATTATCATTACAGTCATCATTATTATTATTATCATACTTGTCATTATTATGATTATCATTATTACGATTATTATCATCATCATCATTATTGTTATTCCTATCATCATCATCATCATTATTGTTATTCCTGATATCCTCCTCCTCATTATTGTTGTTCCTACCATCATTATCATAAGTACTATCCTCACCATCACCACCACCATCATTCTTCCCCCCATTCTCATTACCATTCTCGCCGCCGACTTTTAAAGCCCCGATGGTAATTTCGACCCCTTTCCCGCCCACAGAACCTGCTCTTCTACTCCGAAGGGGAATCGAGCGTAAAACCTTCAGGTGTGATAATGCTCGAGGGTTGCTACTGCGAGCGACTCATCACCACCAACACCAACACGAAGAATAAGGACACGGACAAACAGGTGAGTCGGGAGAAGGGGGATGGGGTTGGGGGTTAGGGGTTGTGGGGGTTGGGGTTGAGGTTTGGGGGTTCAGAGTTGGGGCTGGGGTTTGGGTTGGGGGTTGGGGGATTGGAGGTCTGGGGTTGGGGATTGGAGGTCGGGGGTTGGGGGTTGTGGGGATTTAGGGTTAGGGTTGGGGTCGGGAGTTGGAGTTGGGGGTTAGGAAAGGAGGGTTGGGCGTTGGGGGTTGTGAGTCGGCAGTGATGGGTCGTGAGTTCTGAGTCAGTAGTGGGTATTGACTCAGTAATGGAATGGTGCTTCGAGTCATGTTAGGGTAAATAAGGTCTTTGGGGGAATTAATAATGTCTTTGTAAGATAGCTAGGGAGATCTTGTTAGGATATATAAGGATGTCTTGTCTTGATAGATAAGGAGGTCTTGCTAGGATATATAAGGATGCCTTGTTAGGATATATATATAAGGATGTCTTGTCTTAGATAATAGGGGATAGGATATGTATGCCTTGTCTTGATAGATAAGGAGATCGTGCTAGGATATATAAGGATGTCTTGTTAGCTTGTCTTGATAGATAAGGAGGTCTTTAGGATATATAAGGATATCCTGTTAGATAGATAGGGAGGTATTGTTAGGATAAATCTTATCAGGATGAATAAAGATATTTTTAGGATAAATAATTAAGTCTTGTTAGGACGAATAAGGAGGTCGAGTATGGATGAATATCGAGGTTTAATCAGGATAAATATGAGGACTTGTTAGAGGTCGTTGAGTGAGGTCGTATAAAGGGAACAAGGAGTGGCCAAGGGAAAGAGAATGAGACCAAAGAGGGACGGAGGGAAGCAGGTAAAGAGTGAGACGGAATGGAAGAGAGAGAGAGAGAGAGAGAGAGAGAGAGAGAGAGAGAGAGAGAGAGAGAGAGAGAGAGAGAGAGAGAGAGAGAGAGAGACGGACAGACTGACCGACAGACAGATAGACACACACACAGAGGTAAATAGACAGGGTGATAAGTGTGACTGAGGAAGGGAACTGTGACTGAGGGAGGGAAGTGTGAATGAGGAAGGGAAGTGTGAATGAGGGAGGGAGGTGTAAATGAGGGAGGAAAGTGTGAATGAGGAAGGGAAGTGTAAATGAGGGAAGGAAGTGTGAATGAGGAAGGGAAGTGTAAATGAGGGAAGGAAATGTGAATGAGGAAGGTAAATGTGAGTGAGGGAGGGAAGCGTGACTGAGAGTGGGAAGTGTGACTGAGGGAGGGAAGTGCGAATGGAGGAGAGAAGTATGACCGAAGAAAGGAAGTGTGACCGAGGAAGGGAAGCGTGAATGTGTTAATGAGGGAGGGAATTGTGACCGAGGAAGGGAAATGTGAATGAAGGACCGAAATGAGGAGAGGTAAGGTAGGTAGCAAGAGACCAGAAATTAAGATAAACGCAATTGTATAAAAAAATAAAAAAAACATGAGAGAAATTAGGATAATGAAAAGTTCTTTTAGGATGTCTTTAAACTTACTATTATTTCAAATCTTATGAGAATCGCGTATCATTGACAACTTTAGCATTGCGTGAAGTTTAATCAGAATATGACTATAATACACAATGCATCTTCCCACAGTCGAGATTTCTTTTTCAGTTTTCTGAATCTCTCTTTTTCGCTGTATTTTCGGTCTTTAATTTCTTTTTGTTCTTTCTTCGAGTATTAATATCTTGCCTTACTCTTTTCCTTCCCATCCTCTCTCCTCTTTCGTTTTTTCCCATTTCCTTGGTGTACTTTGTCTCTGTTTCTGTCTCTGCCCTTCATCTCTCTCTCTTTCTCTCTTTCCCTTCTTTTCTCTCTCTCTTTCCCTTTCCTTCCCTTCTCTTCTCTTCCTTCTCTCTCTCTCTCTCTCCTCTTTCTTCTCTTTACTCTCTTTTCTCTTCTCTTCTCTTATGCACCCCCTCTCTTTCTTTCTTTTCTCTCTCTTCTCTTAAGCACCGCCCCCCTTCTCTCTCTTCTTTCTTTCTCTCTCTTTCATTCTCTCCCCCCTCGCACCCGTCCCCTTCCTTCCCCCGCCACTCACCAGTCACTTCCTCACAGTTCTGCTTCGCCATCACCTACCGCCGTGAGAACCAGCGACAGTATGACCTGAAGGCGGAGACAGAGGGCGAATGTAAGGCCTGGATCGACGTCATCCGACAGGCGTCCTTCAACAAACTCCTGCTGCAGAAGGAAGAGCTGGAGCAGAAGCACTTGCACCTTCTGCAGATCGTGGAGAGCGAGAAGACGGCCAAATGGCAGTACACGCAGCAGTGCGAGGAACTCACTTCGGAGATCAAGAAACTCAGAGCAGAGGTGATTTCCTTCTTGTCTTGTCGATGTTTTGTCTTTATCGTTGCTATTTTTTTGTATATCTCTCTTACGTTGCCTCTTATTGACCTGGTTGCTTGAGTAATTACTAAATCATCGCTCAATCACACACACACACACACACACACACACACACACACACACACACACACACACACACACACACACACACACACACACACACACACACAACACACACACACACACACACACACACACATACACACACACACTTACGCATACACACACATCCACCCTACCATCCCCTCACTAACCCATCTACCCTGACTCACCTTCTACGACTCCCTTCTATCGCCACAGTTATGCACGCTGAAGAAGGAGTGGCGGGTGGTTCCCTCCCGGCGGCTGGAGGACCTTCCCGAGGACTCCGAAGAGATCAAGAAGATTAAGAAAGTGCAGAGCTTCTTCAGGGGCTGGCTCTGTCGACGGCGGTGGAAGCAGATCGTCGAGGAGTATATCCGCTCTCCACACGCAGAGAGTATGAGGAAGAGGAACAGGTAAGTAGGGAGAGAAAGAGAAGATGGTGAGGAATGAGAGGTAAGTAGGAGAGAAGGAGAAGAGAGGATGAGGAATGAGAGGAAAGTAGAGGATGGGGAGAGAGAGAAAGAGAGTGAAATAGTGTGAGGAAGAAGTACAAGGACGTAGTGAGAGATGAAGAAGTAAAAGGGGAGGAGAGAAAGGATGATGAATAGATAAGGAGGGAGAGGAAAAGTAGAGGGTAAGAAGAGATATGAAGAGGGCGAAAGAGTATAAGGAAGAAGCACAAGTGCGGAGGGGGAGAAGGAGAAAGAGAGAGGAGGGGTGAGGAGAGGGAGAAAGAGAGGTTGGGGAAAAGGAATGGGCAAAGAGTATGAGGAAGAGGCACAGGTAAGGAGGGAGAGAAGAAAAGGGCGAGGGGACAAGGAAGAGGGCGAAAGAGTATGAGGAAGAAAAACAGGTAAAGAGGGAGAGAAGGAGAATTAGAGGGTGAGGAAAGAAAGGAAGAGGCATAGCTCAGGAGGGAGAGAAAAAATGAGAAGTAGAGGGCGAAGAGAGAGAGGCAGAGAAACAGGTAAGGAGGAAGAGAAAGAGAATTAGAAGGTGCAGAGAGAGAGAGGAAGAGGGCGGAGTGTGAGAAAAAGGAACAGGTAAGGAGGGAGAGAGGTTGATGAAAGAGTACGTAAGAAAGAGAATAAGGGAGTAAATGATTAGGAGAAATAGAAAGAGGGCGAAAGAGATAATGACAAAAAGAGAGAAAGAAAGCGAGAAAGAAGGAGAAAGAGTAAAAAATATGTATATATAAAAAAAAATTGTAAGTGAAGAATGAAAAACAGAAAATCCGAATATATATATATATATATATATATATATATATATATATATATATATATATATATATATATATATATATATATATATGATACATAGAAGAGAGGAAACTCGCGAGAAGAAATGAATGAAGAAGAGGAATATGTGCATAAAAAACGGAAGATAAACACAGAAAACGGAAATCGTTCAGGCAAACACAAGGGAAAGGGTGACAAGGAACATTTCAAAAGTTGTCATTTTGCAGAAACATGCATAGAAAATATTGAAAACTTGGAAGACAGTTTTTTTTTTTTTTTTTTTTTTTTTTTTTTTTTTTTTTTTTTTTTTACTGGAGATAGTGACATTTTCAGATCGTATTTTTTTTCTTTTCTTTTTTGAAACACTGAGTATGAAAGAAGTATTTTTCTATGTGAGTATATCTGAAGCGAAGATGATAATGCTGATAATGCATATTCATATTTGTAATGCTGATAATCGGAAACGTGACGCTCATGCTGATAATGAAAGTAATGACGTTAATGATAATGGCAATAATGTAATAAAGGTAATAGTGATATTAATACCATGATAATGACACTGTTCTCTCTCTCTCTCTTGCTCACTCTCTTTTTTCTCCCTTTCTCTCTCTCTCTTTCTTTCTCACTCTCTCTCTCTTTCTCTCACTTACCCCCTCTCTCTCTCCCTCTCCTCCATCTCTCTCTCTCTCAATGCCCCCCCCCCTTTCCCTCCCCAGCCTGGTGTTCCGAATGGTCGAAGCGGAGGAAGAATACGTCGAGCAGCTGAACCTCCTCGTGTCCTGCTTCCTTCGGCCCTTCAAGATGGCGGCGTCGTCGAAGAAACCTCCCTGCAGCCACGAGGACGTGAACAGCATCTTCCTGAACTCGGAGACGCTGCTCTTCCTCCACCAGATCTTCCTCAAAGGACTCTCGGCCAGGATGGAGAGCTGGCCCACGCTGGTGCTTGGTGAGTGCCTCGGGACAGTGTTGGCTAGGGATGCTCCTTCGTCGCGCTCTCTTTCCTCTTCGCCTCCGTGTCTCCGCCCCCTCTTGGCCTCTCTCCTTGCTCCCCTCTTCTCCTCTCTCCTTGTTCCCTTCACCTGCCTTCTTGCCCTCTCTCCTTGCTCCCCTCTTCTCCTCTCTCCTTGTCCCCTTCACCTGCCTTCTTGCCCTCTCTCCTTGCTCTTCTCCTCTCTCCTTGTTCCCTCACCTGCTTCTTGCCCTCTGCTCCCTCTTTCTCCTCTCTCCTTGTCCCCTTCACCTGCCGTCTGCCCTCTTGTCCCTTTTTCTCTGCTCTCGTCCCCTGCCTTCTTGCCCTGCTTGTCTCGTCCCCTTCCTACCCCTGGACTGAGTAGAACACCGACCGAACAGAATCGAAAAATATATTAGTAGAATGGGAGAAAACAGGGGCAAGACCGGGTAGAAGACACACAACAGGATAAGCATGAACAGGATAGCTAAGGAGACCAGAAGAATGAGATCACGTAGGAACGGAACGTAAGGGTATATGGGTAGGATAACATGCTTAAGAAAAATATATTTGGAGCTAGCAAAGGGTAGGCCACCGCAGGACGGAGTAAGCTCCGAACGGCAGACAATAAAAAAGAAGGAACACAGGACGCACAGGCTATGCTGCTTAGGGCCGAGGAGAGCAAAGCAGGACAAAGCTTCAGCGACGTATTGCAAAGTAGGGCAAAATAGCGCAAAGTAGACCGAAGTAGGGCAAAGCAGGCCGAAATAAGACAAAGCAGAGCAAACCAAAGCGAACCAGGGCAAAGCAGGGCAAACAGGCAAAGCAGGCGAAGCAAGGCATAGCAGGGCGAAGCAGGGCAGAGCAGGGCAAGCCATGCAGGACAGGGCAGGGAGGTCGGCGAGAAGCAGCGGGACAATAGAGTTACTAGAGCGAGCAGCGGGCGGGGAGAGAGAGGGGGGTGGAGTGAGGCGGGTGTGGCGGCAGCAGGTGAAGGAGAGGGGGGAGGGGGGTCAGGACAGGGGGATGGGTGGGGGGGCGCTCAAGCTCAAGGTGAGATGTTTCCCTTGAGACGATATTTAAAAGTCCCGGGCACGTCTAGAAGGCATCGCTGGTGGCGCCACACCCGGCATACACGCACGCTCCTGGAGGTGTGGCAAGGAGCACACTAACGCACACTCTTTTTAGAAACGCACACGCAAGGCGAATCACACACACACACACACACACACACACACACACACACACACACACACACACACACACACACACACACACACACACACACACACACACACACACACACACACACACACACACACACAACACACACACACACACACACACACACACACACCACTCCTCCCCCTTCTCTTCTTCCCATTTACTGTCACCTTTGGTGTCCTCAGTCTCCCCCCCCCCCTGCCCCCTCTCTTCCCCAGCCAAAAAAAGAAAGAAAAAAAACGAATCATATAGCAACATATTATTCTTCAGCTGATTTTTTTTCTTTTGATAATCGTTTATATATGCTAATGTAATTCAGCAGGTTGTGCAGTAGAGGATTTTCTCAATTGAGGAAAAAAAATAGGTAATACCGCGATCTTGTTTTCTTTTATCTCACTATAAAAATACAATATTCTGGTCTAATCTTAAGTTCTAACGGTCTTTGCGGTTTGAAACAAAACGGTTGTCAAAAAGATGTTCATTATTATTTTATCGCCACTCATACTAACAAAAAAAAGGGAGTAAAAGAAAAAAGAAGGCTAAATAAAATAAAACAACACTCGCAAAACTGTCGAATAAAAGATGCTATATCAAGGTTTGATAAACGAGAAGATAACATAATTTAATACGTCAGTTGTGCAAAGCTGATAAACGAAGAGCGATCAAGTCGAGTAGATGGCGCGCAGAACTCACCCGTAGTGACTGGCGGCGGCGCTGGACAGGTTGCCATGACAACAGTCGGGGATGGGGAAGGAGGAGGAGGAGGAGGAGGAGGAGGAGGAGGAGAGGAGGAGGAGAGGAGAGGAGGAGGAGGAGGAGGAGGAGGAGAGGAGGGGGGGGGGGAGAAGAAGAAGAAAGAGGAGAGAAGAGAAGGAGAGGAGGGGAGGAGAAGGAGATGGAGGAAGAGGAGGAGGAGGAGGTACGAGAGGGGGAAAGGGGGCACACGCGACTTCCAGCTTTTTGTAAACAATCTCGGAAGATAAATCTTATGCTTTGTTATTTGCTGTATAGTTATTGCCATCATCTTCGTAGGTATCATCGTTATCATTGTCATTTTGTTATTCATTATCCATTTTTGTTAACTACTTTCCCTTTGTTTTTGCTATTACATTGTCATTTTATTTTATAGTTATCAGTTATTATTATTTCCTATAATAATGATAATAATGATAATGAAAATATTATTATTATTATTATTATTATTATTATTATTATTATCGTCATTATCATTATTTCTATTATCATTGCCATTGTTATCATAATCATGATTATCATTATTTTTATCTAATTTTATCATTGTTATTATTATCATCATCATTATCATCATCATCATCATCATTGTTGTCATTTTTATCATTATCATTATCATTGTTATTACTATCATTATTATTATCATAATTGTTTTTATCATCATTATTATTGTCCTCATTTTTTCGCTTTGTTTTGTTTTTGCTATCAATACTGCTGTCATCATTATTGTTATTATCATTATTACTTATCATCATTATTATTATTATTATTACCATTATTATCATTTTCATTATTATAATCAATATCATTATTATAATTGTTATTGTTATCAATATTATTATTATTATCATCATGATCATCATCTTCATTGTTTGATTTTTAAGATCATGATTTTTATTATTGTCTTGTTATTTTTATTATGCTTTTATGGTTTACATTATTGTTATTAACCTTATTATTATTATCATCATCATCACTGATATTTTGCTTCTATTATTATTAATATCATTATTATTATTACTATTATTATTATTATATTATTGTTATTGTTATTTTTATTATCATTGGCATTATTGTCATCATTACTATCATTTTTATTATTATTATAATCATCATTATAATTTTCATTATCATTAGTATTATTATCATCTTCATCATTATCATTATAATCATTATTATGATTGTTATTGTGAATGTTATCATTGTGATAATAATGTTATTATATTTTTATTACCATCGTCATCATTATATCATTATTCTTATTATCATTATTATGGTTATAGTTATTATTTTTACCATCATCATTATTGCTGTTATTTTCATCATCATCATCATCAACAGCAGCTGCATCATAATCATCATCATCATCACTACCACTACCATTATCATCATCATCATCCTAACCACAATTATCATCACAATTACTATTATCGTAATAAGCATTTATATCATTACCATCACTCTTATCCTTGCAATACAATTGTTATCATTGTTATTATCATAGTCATCTTCTCCGTTTTTATAAGTCATCACCATTATCATTATTAGTGTCCTTTTCTAATCATTTACATTATGCTTACCATTTTATGCAATTATAGGCATTATTATGATTATATCCTGTAACTCTTATTGCAAATACATTGTTTCTATTTACACTATCTTTACAATAGAAGCTATATAGATAAATTTGAATATTTCCGTGTTATGCATGCGAGTTTTGCGGATATCAATTACAAATATGATCAATATCTGATTGTGAAATTGATACTAGTTATTTTTTATACTGATTAAGAAATGATATGATGAAATATGATATGATATTGTGTGTTATTGTGCTTTATGCCTGCATGCGGGAAGCTTGTCCTAAATGTATGTTTGCATGGGATGGGATGTTGCATGCGAGGATGTACAGTGACTGCTGTGTTATGCTAACCCATCTTTTGAACCATGCTGTTTTCCCCCTTATCCCCTTTCCTTACCTCCCTTTTGCTACCTTCTTTGCTTTCCTCCCTCTCTCCCTTAATTCTTTTTTTTTAAACGCCCATGGCAGAGGCCGTGCAGCTAGCCTCCCTGTTTTGAGATATTTCCTCCTTCATTCACTGTGCTTCGTTAGACCTGAAGATGGTTTTGTAGACTTAGGCTTACCGGACTCAGCAGAACGCCAACTGAACCTCTTGCTAATGATAGCGGAACTATGTGCATCTAGAGCGTGTGTTATATATATATAATTTTTTTTCTTTTCTTTTCTTTTTTTTCTCTCTATTTTCTTCTATTTGTGACCCGCAGAACTTTGGTATGATCACTTCGTTTGCCTTATTCTTTATTATTTTTTTTATTTTTAGTTCTCTTTTTTTACATATTCCCAATTTTCGTCCGTTTATCAATCTTCTGCATTCTTTTCCCCCCCATTCTGGTTTGTTCTTCTTGTCCGCGTTAGACCTATACTCTCCATTCTGACATGCCTTCTACGATCTGGAAAACGGCCTATCTCTGTTTCTTTTATGTGTTCCCCAGACAGTCGACGCGCGCGAGTGTAAAATTTGACTCGAGGCAATCCTGAACGAAAACGATAATAATGAATATGTGTGTATATATCTAAGAAAGAGAAAATGTAAAAAAAAAAAAAAAAAAAAACGTAAATCAGGTTCTTCATTGTCCGGGAGGCAAGGACAGGCTGGGTCAGGTAAGGTTAGGTCAGTAGGGCAGTAACAAGCAAGCAGTGTGCGTTTATTATGGGTAAGTTTTGTTTACTGTCGCAGGTGATCGTGGCTGGAGCACTGCTTGTTGGCGATTAACAGTCTACTAACTTTATTCACTTGCTTAAAGATAAATAATATATATGATTTACATCTGAAATCATATGTACTTCAGCCGTGTTCATCAGGCGAGGCAGGTGATAGGAGTCCTCTTACGATAAAGATTTTACATTTTTCATCATTATCTTTCACTCGATGGCGTTTTCCTTTTCGTTCGTTTATTTGCCGCAAGTCTCCTCAGAAGCAGAGCGAGTGGAGGCCGCCTTC